AGGGAAGGTAAGTGCTCTTAACCACTGAGCTGTATTTCCACCCTCAGACTATGTTTTAGACAGTTTAACATGTAATACTCATATTAAATATTACATGCAAATGTCATGCCAAATCTAGAGGAGTTCAAAAATCAAACCTAGATCAAAATGGTTAACAGATTTTCATGTTATGATTATAAACCATGTTGTATCTGACAAAAGTAAATATCCAGAAAATGTAAATACCCTAAAGTTCAAAAAAACTAACAAAATTCAGAACCAAAGGTGTCTTATGATTTCAATTTCTGTGACAAAACACCATTACCAAAAAAATTAAATTGAAGAGAAAATGATTTATTTGGCTTACACTTGCATAGTACAGTTCATCACTGAAGGAAGTCAGAATAAGAACTCAAACGACACAGAAACCTGAAGGCAGGAGCTGATGCAGAGGCCATAGACAGAGGGATGCTGCTTACTGTCTTGCTTCCTCTGGCTTGCTCAGCCTGCTTTCTTATAGAACCCAGGACCACCAGCTCAGAGATGACACCACCCACAATGGGTTGGACCCTCCTCCACCAATCATCAATCAAGAAAATGCCCTACATCTGGATCTTATAGAGACATTCTCTCAACTGAGACTTCCTCCCTTCAGATAACTCTAGCTTGTATCAACTTGGCATAAGACTAGCCTGCACAGAAAACTAATCACAATGGTTCGTCTCTGTATCCCTTAGCACTCAGGAAGCTAAGGCAGGAGGATTGCCCAGATTTTGAGACCAGGAGGAGTTCCAGGACACTCCAGGCTATAGAGTAAGACATTATCTTTTAAAATATTATCCCAACCCCAAATACCCAATTGAGAAGTCAGCAAAAGGAGGTGGGTGGTCCTTGGACTTCCCACAGGGCAGGGAACCCTGATTGCTCTTCGGGCTGACGAGGGAGGGGGACTTGATTGGGGTAGAGGGAGGGAAATGGGAGGCGGTGGCGGGGAGGAGGCAGAAATCTGAAAGAAAGAAAGAAAGAAAGAAAGAAAGAAAGAAAGAAAGAAAGAAAGAGAGAGAGAGAGAGAGAGAGAGAGAGAAAGAAAGAAAGAAAGAAAGAAAGAAAGAAAGAAAGAAAGAAAGAAAGAAAGAAAGAAAGAAAGAAAGAAAGAAAGAAAAGACATGCAAATGGCTAATGGATATATGGAAAAATCTCAACATCACTAATCACAGGAAAATGCAAACCAAGTCCTTCTCATTCTAGTAAGAATGCTACTATCGAAAAGTCAAAAGATAAACATGTGCTTCCCTGGGAGACCCCAATAAAAAGTTCTTGCCCACATTTTTGCTCTTCCTTTCCTTCTGACCAACCACAGAGCCCTTCCTTTGCTCTCACATGACATGGCTCAGTCTTTTGTACTGACATTTATGAATGTCTTTTGAATGACAATTATCTCCTGATTGTTTCTAACCACTATGACTAAAGAACAGTAGTGTAGAACATCCCGAATAGGAAGAGGATGGTTTGGCTTCTCTCTAGGACAACATGTAACTAAATTCCTTTGCTTAGCAACACTGCAAAGGCACCTGCAGGCACCAGAAAGATACTTTCAGTGATTCTTTGCAATAAGATTCCTCCCCAAATAGAAACATCGTTCCCTTTAAGGCCTTGTTATGCCCAGCTTTATACACAAACACACACACATACACACACACACACACACACACACACACACACACACACACATTCCTTTATAATGCCCTCCCTCTCATCTTAAGGCCCAAACAATGATATCAAGGCCCATCATTTACACTGCTGCTATAGACTTGCACTGCTGCAATTAATGCCTTCTTTGCTTTGCTTTTGCAGCGTATTGCTGTGGCTTCCCACCCTAAATTCACCCCATGGAGCTCATTTTTCCACAAGTGCTGGTGTAATCTGAGTTAATCACTTGGATCCAGAGTTCCCTCTTGAGGGCACTCCCTTTACACTGACTAGATAGACTAAGTTAAAAAAAAAAAAAAAAAAAAAAAAAACCTCTTCCAAATAGTGAAGTGCAATTTACCTACACGTGTTTTAGAACAAGTCTGATGAACGAGCCTGCTCAGTGAACAGAGCAACACTTATGAGTGGTGGGACATCTATTGTCGTTGTTTTCCTATCCAGCTGGACCTATCCTGTCGAGTAGGAGGAAAGTACACTTCAGAGCCTCTTGTGTGTGGCCAGCCAAACCTCAGTGTGAGGTTTCTACAAGCCTAAGCAAGGCCCTTTCCAAAGGTGGTGTGGCTATAACCGAGTCCTCTGTTACCTTAGCTATGTTTTGGTTCTTTCTCACATCCAGTGGGGAACAGAAGATCACATTGCAGCAAACTAAGGTTCATTGTTCACAACTCTAAAAAAATAGAGAAATCAGTAGAAAGACATACTTTTTTTATCGTTCTCCTAGAACTCAGAAGACATAAATCCTCAGTCTCTTTCCATTTTACCCATAAAGGTATTATAATTTACAGAAAAAAATCAAAGACAGGAAGTATGCATGATGTAGACTCATCAGGAAACCGAAACTATTAAAATTGATAGTAAGTTTCCGGGAAGATGAGCTATTCCACAAGTGCAAAGGCTCCTTAGACTTGATGCCTAGTCACATTCCCAGCATAGAATTTTCCAGAAAATTCTAATCCTGAGGGTTCCTATTATAATCACAACTTGGAACTCAGAGGCAGAATGCTTAATAGAAAGGAAGGAGAGAACATTTTATCTTATCATGCCTACATCCTGCCCCATTCACCCACTCAATATATCCTGCAGCTCACTCAGAAATGTAAAGTGCCCTGTTAGATGCCTTCAAATTAAAAGTAAAAATGAGTATATAGTTCAGTGGTTGACGACTCCCTGAGCATAGACAAGATCCTATATTCAATTTCTACTACCACAACATATATATGTGCATATGTATTTGTTATATACAATGTTATATATTATATAGAAAACAAATTATACATAGCAATCATACAACAGTCCACAACAGGGGAAAGAGGTAAAGGGGGAAAGAAGCGTACAGGGAGGAAGAGGGAAAGAGGATACAAAAAGGAGAGAGTAAAAGGGGTAGAGAGGTAGAGGAAGGGGGAAGGAAGAGCTCAAAAAAATTGGATTTCCAACCTGCCTCCGTGAACTGTTCTCCACAGTGTATGTTTCAAAACAGAACCTTCATATTTTCTAGAAGAAATAATTTTGGATGAATTTAACTTGCTAGAGGAAGCCATATTTTGCGCTCAAAAATCTTTATTATTCCTAATGAAACATCACAGGGGATCTAGCTCAGTGCTCTAGGCAAACAATGTTACTAGGGGACTGGCAAGTTTGCCTAGAAGTTGAGTTCTCTCTCTGGGACTCACAAGGTGGAAGGTGACAACCAATTCTCAAGTTTTCCTCTGACCTCTACAGTGGTACGTGTCTGCTTGTATGCATATGTATATACACATTAAGTTAATTAATCAATTAATTAATTAATGTGCCTGATATACCAGAAAATATATTTTGTTGGGCTGCAACAGGATTTGGGTTTTTTTTTATTTATTTTTTATTTTTTTGGTTTTTCGAGACAGAGTTTCTCTGTGGCTTTGGAGCCTGTCCTGGAACTAGCTCTGTAGACCAGGCTGGTCTCGAACTCACAGAGATCCGCCTGCCTCTGCCTCCTGAGTGCTGGGATTAAAGGTGTGCGCCACCATCGCCTGGCGATTTGGGTATTTTTTAAACACTACTGCTGAAGCCGGGTGGTGGTGCACACCTTTAAACTCAACACTGGGGGAGGCAGAAGCAAGCGGACCTCTGTGAGTTCAGGCCAGCCTGGTCTACAAGAACTAGTTCCCAGGACAGCTAGAACTGTCACACAGAGAAACCACTGCTCGAAGAAAAACAAACAACAAACTACCACTGAGCACGAAACCTTTGATAAGGAAAATTGGGTGAGGTCCCTTTAAAGCGAGCTGCAGGCTCCCAGGCTGACCTCTAACTCAGAGATCTGCCTGCTTCTGCCACCCAATTCCTGGGAATAAAGATGTGAGCCACCACCCACTGGTTTAACACTGAAATTTCTGTTTGCTTTAGATGAACGGGTTCTCAGCCCCCCCCTGCAGATCCCCCACATTGCTTCAGCTCGGGGCCTCGTTCCTCTCTTCTCCTCCCACTCTCTGCTTGTTTGTCCAGCACCGCCCCTTGGTCTGGCAGAACTCTCTGCTTATTGCCACTTTGCCCTCCTATTGTGTATTTGCCAGGCTTTCTCTTTGCGCTCAGCATCCCCTTGCCTTGTGGTCTCACCTACCCTCATCTTGTTTCAAATTGTTCACCTCTTGGTCTCATTTCACCCCAGGGTCTCACCTTGCCTGGTGACTCTGTCTTCCTCACCTCACCTTCCCTGGAGGTCTTTTCTCAAGATACAGTCTCATCTTCTAGTCTGGCCTAACTTCCTGGCCTCGCCCCCTCGTGCTACCCCGAGGCTCTAAGCGCCTCCCAGTCTCACGTTGCTTCCTGACCTCGCCTTATTTCCTGAGCTCTGGAGTCCAGTTTCGCTGCTGCAACGCCCAGTCCAGTCTAGCCTCTTCTGACTCTGCGTCTCATCTCGCCTGATTCCGTGGTCTCCGGACCTGGCTCCGGGTCTCATCTGGCCCGGCTCCGGGATCTCATCTCGCCTGACTCCAGGTCTCACCTCGCCTGATTCCGGGATCTCGTCTGACCTCATTTTGGCTGATTCCGGGGGTTTCATCTGACCAGCTCTGGCTACCTCGGGGTCTCATCTCGCCTGACTCCTGGTTTCGCCTCGCCTCATCTCGTCTCTACATTTTGCCTTGTTTCCCGGTCTTGCCTTGCTTCAGCCCAGGATTTCGCAGGTGGTCTCGGCTTAAGGTCTGGTCTCGCCTTGTCTTACCTTGCCACGTCTTCCCTTCCCTTTCGGTCTCACTCCAAGGCCTCGTTGCCTCCACATCTCAAGCTATCTCTCACCTTTGCCTCACATCTCTGCCTTACATCAGAATCTGGCCATGCCCTTGCCCAGTTTGTCCCCTGCCGGGTCAGCCAACGAGAGCAGCCCAGAGGTCCAAGAGGACAGCCTGGCTGCTGCCAAAACAGAGGGAGCCTTGTGGCCTGCAAGCCAGGGCTTGCCTTCTGCAAGCATCATGGCACCTCCAGCTGGCAACGAGGGCCAGTCCTCTAGTGGGGATGTGGAGTCTCAGGAATGCCTGGAGTCCCAATCTCCCAAAGGGGCAGAGAAGGCAGAGGTGGAGTCTGACCAGGAGGAGAACCTCGTTCCTCTCTCGCAGCTGACTCCCTACATCTCCTGTTACATTTGCAAAGGCTACTTAATAGATGCAGCAACCATCACAGAATGTCTCCATAGCTTCTGTAAAAGCTGCATCATAAAACATTTTGAACATAACAACAAATGTCCAAAGTGCAACACTGTGGTGCATGAGGCCAAACCTCAAAATAGCCTGAGGTTGGATCCACAATTACAAAACATAGTGTACAAATTGGTGGCAGGTCTAGAGGAAAAAGAAAAAAAGCAAAGACGTGAATTCTACAAAGGAAATTGTCTGGAAACACCCAAACCTGCTGCTGTTCTGCAGCCAGGCCCTTCAAGCGAAGGGAGCACTAAAAAAGTAGAATAGTGCCTTAGTTCACATGAACCTGATATGTCCTGGAGGCTATGGGCACTAATGCAGACATTGGACATTGTAAACCACTGAAGATAAAGTTTGTGCGAGTCTCAGGACATGCAACCACTGGACATATAGAAAAACTTCTCAAAAGAAAAATGGACCTTGCTGCAGCTTATAGGGTAGATAGCATGTGCGGTGGGCAGTTGCTGAAGGACTTTCAAACTCTGCAAGAAGTCCAGTGTACAGTAGGGGATGCTGGGATGCAGGACGGTCAGCTAGTCCTTTATTACAGTGTTGTGCTGTCTCCTCCCAATGTGACTCTCTAGGGGTGGTATGAAGAGGCAGAAAGTGAGAAGGCCTCTGAAAAACTGCATCTTACTGAAGAGTTCAGAAAACGTGGAATCCCCCTAGAATATGTACTGTTTCTGACACACCTGTCTCCTGCACCCGAGATCCAACATTTAAGGCACAGCTTGGAACAATAGAACATGTTCGTTCGTTTTGCTGCAGGCTGTAGGAAGCACTCAGAGCTTGAGAAAAAGTCGAATATCAAGTTTGAAAATTCTTTTGGTTTCGGAACACTTTAAGGTTTTTTTTTTTTTTGATTACTGTCTTTTAGAAAAGTTTCTTATAGTTTTCTCCTCTGTTGAACTGGCTATAAGTTGAACAATCAACGCTCCGTTTTTATCTCACCACAGGCCCAATCAGGAACAAACCAGTCATGGGTTTGAACTTGTGAAACAGCGAGCCAAAATGGATTAATCACTGCACTTGTTTCTTGCAATATTAGAAGGCTAAGTAACTTCTCATCAAGTTGGTTGTTGGGATTTTCCCCTGTGGGATGGCATCAGTTGATTTTCCTTTTGGAAAACGAAGTTTGCTTTACATGGATATTCAAAGCCAGCTTTGTTGAATTGTGGAGTAAACTTGCTGTCCAAGGCCAACATATTTGGCTATGTTTTTATTATTGCCATATTTTAAACTTAGCCTTTTTACAACTTGCAACACTCCTGAAGAGATGCTATTCAGTTCTAAAAGGTATGAATTGTTTTGTGTAAAGGAGACTATTTCTTGTATGCTGTATGACTTGAGCCATAAACCTTCAGTGTAGTAGGACATTTTGGTATGTCTTAGAATAAGAGGTGTTCCTTGGTGAATTTTATACACCATAGGTGTTATCAGTGGTGGCTGATACCTTGTAATGACACCACTTCTGAAATGGAAAAGTCCAGGTGAATCTGGAAAGTTACAGAATATTTACTTAGTGTTTCTTCAGAAAATCAGCTTCTTTGAGTATTTTAACACTGCCTGGGGGAACCAAGCCCCAGCAGCACAGGGCTCAAAGGGAATCCAGAGTCAGCAAGTACTGTGACTTTTCTATCTGAGGGGGTTTGAGAAAAACACTAACACTTTCTCTTGATGGTTTCTTTTATTTTCATTTCCTATGTATTCTTTTTGTATTGTATACTTTTTTCTACAGCTTATATACCCCAACAAAGTTTTACAGGCAACATAGTAATTACAGTGTTGTTACATTCTATTTTTCAAGTGAATGATTATAATGAATACAGGTAAAAACATGTTTTTCATCTTCCTTACATAATGAAACATTTTATATATTACAGGTAAAAAGCAAATTATCCCAAGAATCCATGTACATTCATACCCAAGCAATTTGTTGTAGATTAACTGTGTAGGCAAACAAAATATGCTTCTCAATCAGGTTTTTTACTGTCAGGCTACATTTTACAGTTACAAAGAAAGGGCCAATTACTTTATTGCTTATCTTGAAAGGTAATCTTATAAGGAATCTCAAACTTAAACTTTTATATATGAAAAAGAGTCAGCCAGTTACACTTTAAATCTTCAGGGTTCATAGCTATTGTATCTCTTATATCAATATAGTAGCCACCAGCAGTTTCTTATATCAGGAGACTAAGGGCAGAAATGGGTAAATTGAGTTAATCATCACATTTAGTGTAGCCCAAATAATAAAAACCCATAGACAGATATTGGGGTTCAAGCTAAAGATCAGAAAAGCAAAGCAGCCAAGCCACTAGCTCTTAACTTCTACCTCAGACCAAAATCAGTGATCCTGCCTCTACAAATTATTAGAATGAGACTGAGCTGAGACTTGTCTCTTCCTGTCTTATATTCCTCTTCAGTGCTGGGATTAAAGACGTGCACCACCACCGCCTGCCCTCTATGGCTGACTAGTGTGGCTGCTGGGATTAAAGGTGTGTGCCACTGCTGCCTGATCTGTATGGCTGGCTAGTGTGGCTGCTTTGCACTTTGATTTTTCAGGCAACCTCTATTGTTTAAAACACAAATAATTTATAACATTATATTTCTCATTTTTGTCTAAAAAGGCTATAAATAAGAAACACTATATACAGTAAGTACAATAACTATATATAATATATAGGCAATAAATACATCAACAATGTCTATCCCATTTGCATTTGACAAATTCAGAGAAAATACTCCATATCTTATTTTGATGAGTTCAAAAGGTTGGACCTAATTTACTTTCTATTCTAATTTGCATTATCAAATTATCTTTTCGTGTCTCTCAACCTTTTACACTTTATACCTCTTTAGTGAGTTTCTTCTCGGAGTCTGCTAAACAAGGAAAACTATAACAATAACTGTCTAGTCTTCAACTACCTCGGAGAACAGAGAAGGGAATAACTGAGTAAGCAGGAAATGCAAACAAAAGATTTCCAAAAATGTGAGAAATAACAGGAAAAGCTGACTGCCTGAACAGTCAACCAAGGATGCTCTGCAACACTGGGAGCATCCATCTTTGGCTCTAGGCCTAGCATATCTGACAAACTTTTCTATAAAGCAGGATATTCTTAAGTGCAGTCCTATGTTGCCTTGGGAAAGTTCGAAAGTCCTCTCTTTTATGTCCTTCTTGTCTAATTTGTATAGCATACTGTCAGCAATCGAGGTGAGAGCACTTTCTTGCCCAGTTGCTTACTTTTTTTGCCACAAAGAGAGTAAACTCCATGTGCAGTTTCCTCAGTGCCCATTCTGTGAAGTAGATTGGTATTGCCAGGAGCAGACATGTCTCATTGTCATTAAAAAAAAAAACTATGTTAATAAAACATCTTAAATGCCATATTCTTAACTCTCTGAAGCATTTGAAGATGACCTGTCTATTTAAAATATATCTGTTTGACCTTAAAAACATACAATATGACTACAAGTTTAATTGTAGTAGGCGACTAATTGCTAACCTGCATTTTCTTATTATCCTAGTTAGTATTAATAACTTTCAAGAGCTAGAAATTTGCACTGCATTGTTAAATGAGCTGTATAGTAGCAATACCTCAGATAAAATAAGAAATGTATTCACAGTAAGTAGGTTTTAACAAAATTAATCTTAAATTAGTATCAATATACAAAATTTGTATACAAATACAAAAGTCCAATCCAATATTTAAATCTAGTAGTTGCTTTTTAAAAGTAGATTCAATAGTCTATCTTTTATCTTATCATATTTATATCCCTCTTTTTTCTTTTCAAAATAAGAACCTTGAATCTAATTTCCTTTGTTTAGCTTTTTTCCTGACCATTACCAATAATAACTTGTAACCAATGCCCCTAAGCAATGACAAATATCCATAACCCAATGAAAGGCCAAAAACTACCCACCCCACCTCTTGGGAATGTGAACATTGTGTTTTTAAAATTATTTTAGGCTATCTGGGGCAACAGCATCTTTAGGGGATCATGAAAAGAAATATTTGGGTTCATTGTCAAGTCCTGGGACAGGTAGCTATATCATTTGTTGTCCTGTCTCTGCATAATGGGCATGTCTTATCTTGGATAGAATAGTCTGTTAGGCTGGATCATCTCAGTTGGCCACATTGAAATTGTTCTGAGAAGTTTGTAGTCAAAAGTTGATCTTTATGTGGTCGTTTTCAGCATAGTGGTTTTATCATAGTCCTGAAGAAATTGTCGTTCTGGGGCCCCACAAGTCTTTTGGAGACTTCAAAGGTCACTGTTAGGCATGCTCATGAATCACTGCAGAATACTGATAGAGGCTCAAATCTGACATCATGTACAGGAAGGTAGATGAAACTTTTTTGTAGAACTAGTTAGTACTCTATATGACCATTAATACCATGATAAAAAGTTTAGAATATATATATATATTAATATATATTAATTTTATAAATTTTATACCTTAAGAAAAGTTGTTAAAGAGTTAATATAAAACCCAAAGATTATGAGATTAGTGGTAATAAAGTAGTCTTTAAATATTAGTGTTGGGGAGGTGATTATTTATTTATTTATTTATTTTTGGTTTTTTGAGACAGGGTTTCTCTGTGCAGCTTTGGTGCCTGTCCTGGAACTAGCTCTTGCAGACCAGTCTGGCCTCAAACTAACCAAGATCCACCTGCCTCTGCCTCCTGAGTGCTGGGATTAAAGGCGTGCACCACCACCACCTGGCCTTAAATATTTGTTTTTCTTCTGTCCCATATCAGGTGGCTCTTCGGAGATGAGACAGAGATTTTGGATTTCATTTTAACAAGCATGCTTAGGTTTACAGAAGGAGAGCCACACTCCAACTCCAAATCCAGCTTTTATCGTGAATTGGACTGGGACAACAAAAATTCATTTGCAGTATATGTCTGTAGAGAAAAGCAGAAACAAACATTTGGGAAGATTTGTAAATTATTTTCTTGTTGGAAATGTGATATACCAATAGGCCAATTCACTCTTTTTCTTGGAACATTTTTTCTGGGTGATTTGTCCTTTATTTTCTGTTGTCTCATTTGTCCAGTGGTCTCCAGATTCCTTAACTGGATGCCTTTATTTTCCTGAAGAGATAGAAACAAAACACTTCCCCAATCCTAAATTTGGAGACATTCTCTTTTAGCAAATTATTTCTGATTAAATGAAAAGCACTTTTTATTTTTATAGGTTTGTTTAAATTAAATAACCATGCTGTTTGATGAACTATCATCTTTTCTAATTAAGAGGTATCGTTCAAATTGAATCTTTATCAATTTTGATGGTATCCATAGCTTTTCTTCTCCTGTGGAAACAAAAAGAAAACCCCTTATGCTTCCCTCTCTTCCTCTCCCCTCCCCTTCAACCTTCTCCCATGGTCCTCATGCTCCCAATTTACTCCAGAGGTTGCTTGCTTGGGACAGTTTCCTGCCTTGGGCCTGCTCTGGTAGATGTTACTGGCTCGGGCCTGCTCTGGTGGAGGTTGCTGGTTTGTGCCAACTCCAGGGAAAGTTGCTGGCTCAGGTCTGCTACCTCAGAGGTCACTGATTCATACCCAGTCTGGCAGAGGTCTCTGATTTGG